ACCACTGTCACTTGGTTCTACTGCACATGTCTCCTACAGAAAGGTTATGGGGTGCACGGAGAAGAAGTGAGGAGCGGGGACTAAGCCAGGACTGAGTGGAGGGACCTGGAGGTGTGCCCGCATAGACCGTCGGGTGACCACAGGCGAAAGAACAGGTGCAGAGAAGCCGTCGCCCAACCGCACTTTGCGGACTCCCTGCTCCCTGGGGTCAGGATTGTCTCTCTCTCTCAAGTACAAGACTAGTCCTGGTTTAGTCCTGGTTTGGGTCCTGGTTTGGTCCTGGTTTGGTCCTGGTTCAAACCTGGTTTAGACCCAGTTTAATCCTGGTTTAGACCTGGTTGAATCTAGGTTCAGTCCTGGTTTAGTCCTGGTTTAGTCCTACTCGTTCAGTCACAAATCGAATACCCCCACTTAAAAAATCATCATTACACCACTGGTAATTAATAATAGTAATAATCATTACGACTGGCGTAGCTCACTACAGATGCAGTTTGTTGCTTTGGCTGGTTTGCTCTCTGACTGTCCAATCAGCAGGTCTGAATATAGTTTCATGGGCATTTATTTTGTGTTTGAGGGCCGGCAGAACAGACTGTGAAGGCCTCAGGCACACTTCTTTGACTATGACCTTGTCTGGCAACAAATGGTGGCTGAAATGTGATTGGTCAAATGAAAGGAAATGGATAGACCATTTGGAATTATTTAATAAAAACATAATTAACACCAGTCTGTGATTCAGATGTTTTTTTAGGCCAGCAGAGAAGGCCCTGACGGCCCACCACTGATTAAGCTGTAATATCTGCCAAAAGTGGTTACTTTGATGAGTCAAAAGTTTAGAATATGTTTTGGTCAACAGTAAACTGTAAAAAAATAAAATAAATAAATGTGGTGCTCTAAAACTTTTGACTGGTAGTGTATATTTGATCATATTATTTCACGATATTTTTCTATTAACTTGAGCACTGATTATTATGCGTCAATATTGTTCCTATCACAATGACATTTTAAAATGAATGATGAATTTTTAAAAAGGGGCAGGGATTTAAGCATTCTCTGTCTGAATATGTGAGCTACACATCTCTGTGCGGAGGGGTCTTTTAGTTACAGCTGCTCAAAGATGCGCAACTTTCCAGAGCTTGAGCGAGGCGTGTAATCCTTTCATGCCTGTGCCAAATGTAAAGACCATAGACAGTCTATAGTAAAGACCGAGGATAAAATCTCGCAAGATTGTTTTTTCCGTGTGCGCACAGTCCCGAGGTAATTTGATCTTGTCCCATTTCTACTGTTATAATGATGTTTCCTCATTAAAAACAGACCTGGAGTTGTGTTTTGTTTCATTCACACATGTTTAACACACAGCTCCTGCATTTTAGGTTGACTTCTTGTCTCAAACAGAAAACACTCCGCTCCATCTTTTACCTTAGAAACCTTGAAAGCTACAAAAATAAAATAATAGTGCTTTCTTTAAGGTACTTTAAGATAATACTGGTCGATAAAGTTTAAGAATACTTTAAAACTGTTCAAGAAAGGTCATATTTTGTCATCTTATGGTATATTTCCAGTATTGATTCTTGTTAAATTGAGTATCAATTTTTTCAATACTGGTTTTAGTATTGATCAGAATCAGATTTACTTTTGACAACCCTAATCTCAACAGATCCATGTTGAAGCTCTGAATTAGATTGCCATCCTTTTAAGCATTTAAGCATTTAAGTATTTAAGCGTATTGTCTCTAAATCAATGCCATTACAGCTCTATTGACAACACTAGCACTAAAATGTGAAAGAAATGTGTCCAGATGAAGGCTTCTGCTTTATAGTGAAGGACACACAGGGTTTATGAGCACTCAGGTACTTGCAAGTAAGACTCTTAATGATGGCAGAGTTCAATGGGAGCAGATAGAGACACTTTCTTTGGAGATAAATATGTTTTTCTTCAGTGGATTTGAAGGACACAGTAAACAAACAGAACTACTGTTTTTAAAGCAAAATCAACACAAACTGCACTCAAGAATGTTATGAGCAGAGTGAGAATGAGCGGTTTCGGTTTGTTTTCTTTTTTCTTTTTCAATTTTAAAATTGAAAAACAAATGAGTAAATTACTAAACAAACAAACAAAAAACTCCCTCAACCCACCTCTCTCAGCAAACAGAAGAAAACTGGAAAAGTTACAACTTACAATATTCATTTTAATTTGGATCATTTTAAGTTTTTGTTTGTAGGACTCCAGTTTTGTATTTTTTATTTGGTGGCTTTTTACTGTTTTTAAAATGTGAAAACAGCAAAATTTGTCAATGGTTTTCAGTGGTTCAAACTTATTCCTCACTTATCTTTTACATTCCTAACATTAGGTGTGGTATATTGGCAGTATTGGAGGATTTCATCAGATATCGGTATAGTAAGTCTGTAATTAGTCTGTCTAAATCTTCAGATCTCAAAATGTTCCACCTTGTGATGTCATGAAGCGGTAGTTTTCAAGTTAACAGCTACTTTGTATGGTATGCAGGATTTGCGTGATAAACATGTGTGAATGAAACTAAATACAACTTTGGGTATGTTTTAGCCTGATTCATCACCCGGTTTCACTTTGTGGAAACCGCTTGACCTCGCAGCATTAGGATTCGTTCACTCAACAGTAGGTGAGTACTTTTTTTTATATAACCAATCACTGCTATTTGGTCGTGACATATCTAATGCGCCAAATCCCGTAGGAAGAAGGGCAATAATGTTTTTCCCTTTGAGAAAATTCACCATCTTTGTTCCGGCTTTAAATACTCGATCTTGGGAATCGTTGCCAACACAGAATGTATGGCTTCGTCTACATCCACCTCGACCACTTTGTTTACTGTTGTGCTGAATCACAAAAGGGATAGGTCTACAACTTCCGAGGTTCTTGCAAACCATCTAGTGTATTCCGATTCTTGACTTAGTCACTGGAGAGAAATGAAATTGAGCGGAGGCACTAGGTGGTGCCAGTCTGGCTACAACTTTATAACATAGATCAGAAATATGCATAATGCATTATAAAAATTTTAAGCAAAGTTCTCTAAATTCTGGCATACAGTAATTTTTCTTGAACTGAACTTAGAAACAAGTCAAAAACATTTTGATTTGAATCCAAAATTGTACAGTAAGAACTCGAATATAGTTGGTTGTCAAGACTGGTAAAGGATGAATTAACAGTGAAGTTCTGTTAGTCATTGTCTGTTATGAAAAGGACAGAAAATACTATGTGATTAACAGTTGTCTTGGTGAAAGAAGCTTCGTCTATTCACCAGATAATCACCACTTGAAGAAACTAGAGCAGAGAAAACCTTCAAACAGACAACAGGCAGATGGTTCAGTGGTTTTAAGTGCGTATGACAGGTTTTGATGATTCTCTAATTCTGGCTTCATTTGGTGGGATAATACCTGTTGAAAATATGTATTATACTTTTACACCAACCAAGAAGCAATAAGTGAAGAAAAGTTGAAAAATATGTTGAAAACTAGAAAGTAGAGAGTTGTATTTTTTACATATTGATGACCTTACACTAGGGAGAATTCTGTGCAAAGGTTTGACCCAAATTTACACAAAAAACAAAACCTTTTAACCTTAATTTAATTCAAATGCAGGTGTTTTCTTATAATTCTATTAATAAGGTCAGAACATTTTCCTTGGATTGTTTTGTCACAGGTAGAAGTCCATAAATTATGAACTGCATTTGTTACAACCGTGTGCTTGTATTAGCATGCTGATCATGTTGCTTAAATGACTCTCTTTTGTTTATTTTAGTGCTGACAATAGATAGCCAGGCTGACGCCACCTTCTGCCTCTGCTCAATTTAATTTCTCTCCAGCAACTAGGTCAGGAATTGAAATCCACTAGACGGTTTGCAAGAACCCCGGAAGTTGTAGACCGCACACCGGCCAATCAGTGAAGAGCTGTGAAGCCATGACGTCAAACTCAAGCATCGGTCTGTGGTCCCTTTTGTGGTACAGCACAACAGTAAACAAACTGGTCGAGATGGATGTAGACGAAGACAGACATTCTGTGTTGGCAACAATTCCCAAGATCGAGGATTTAAAGCTGGAACAAAGTTTGGTGAATTTTATTAAGGGTCAAGGGGAAAGACATTATTGCCCTTCTTCCTACGGGATATGTCAAAAGCTTAATATAACAGTTAGTCCCGTTAGCACAGAATTACATACATCACAACCAAATAGCAGTGATTGGTTAAATAAAAAAGTACCCGCCTCCTGTCGAGTGAACGAATCCTAATGCTGTGAGGGCTTCCACGAAGTGAAACCGGCTGATGAATCAGGCTAGCCAATAGATGGTGCTAACACAAAATCCCCGAGTGCATCTGATAGAAATAATAGATGTTCTAAAACATGAAATACCAAAGCAAAGGTACTCAAGAGCATTTTTATAACAATGCATAATATTTTTAATTTAAAAAGTAATCAAATGATCCTTGATTCAAGTTCTTCAGCTGTCGAACCACTGCTGGTGAATACACAGAGCACACTGAAGGTTACAGGTCTAGGTTACAGTCTAGATGCATCTATCTGTCTTCTGCATTGTTCTGTCCACCATTTGGTCTGCCTCTTCAGAACGTGTGGAATCTTAACAATGGAGCCATACATGAGTTACATGGAAGCTAAACTTTTTTAAATAGTGACTAGAACCAGCTGTAAAACCAGTAAATGTCTCCCTCATCTCATTTTCGTGGCTCTCTTCCAACAGATGTGCTCTAAAACTTGCCGTGGGCGTCTCCATATTTATGTATTTTTTGCTGTATTTTGTCCATTTTGGTCAATTCTCAAACTGACTTTTATCGCCCTCTGGTGGTTGTTAAAGAGAACACTGCCTTAGATTTAGAAGTATAAATGCAGTGACAGTTACTCGTTACGCACACATCTGTTTACATACCTTAACAGGTTCACATTGGTTTATATACAGATCTGGATAGAGTGGGCATCTTTGTACCCTGAAGTACTTGATGCTTGGTGTGTACTCACATCTGACGACGATGGTGGTGGACTTCTTGGCGGGGTTGCCCACGTTGTTGCTGGCCACACAGCTGTAGACCCCGGCCTCCTCGGAGCTGATGGCGGGGAGCGTGAGCGTGCCCCCTTTGACCTGACTCCTCTGGGGCAGGGAGTCGTTGGCAGTGACCCAGGTGAGGAGGGGAGGGGGCTCTCCTCCTGTGGTGATGCAAACCAGGGACACCGTCTGCCCGGGGTTCACCACGATCGGGTCCTCCACCAACAGCTTAATGGACGGAGAGGCTACAGAGAAGAGAGAGGAGATGGATTGTTTAAAGTGGGACTAAACACCTCAACTCTGCCCACAACCACATTTCAAATAGAGCTGTTCAACTGGAGGACTAAAGGGGGGAGTGAGAGGGGGAGGAGGGCGGGGTCTGGGGGTGTAAGGAACAGTGTGATTGGTCTAACAGGCATCCACACTTCAAACTCTGCCTCTGAAGTCTGGTGTTTGTAACATAATACAATATATCGCAAAACCAATATTAAGACTTTTTAGCACATCGACTATTGGCCTTCAGCATGATATTTTGTTTTTGGTTGATTTGCAAATCCTAAAAAAATCCACTCAAAGCTTATTTTAGCATTTAATACACAGAGATAAATGCACAAAGTGTAACTGCTCAAACTCTTTTAAAAGTTTGTGGTAAAATAATAAAAAAAAAGGCCTGTGGGTGAATTTGTAGTACATTTAAATTACTGTATTTTTTGACGCACACTTACAGTCCTTTCATTTTCTCAAAAATCAGCGGTGTGCTTTCTAATCCCGTGCACCTTATGTATTCATTCTGGTTGTGCTTACTGACCTCGAACCAATTTTATGTGGTACAGTGCGCTCAAAAATCTGTCAAAATGTTTTAGTACAACTTTAGTAAACTACGAGGCCACAGAGCGTGATGGATTTGTCGGAGCATTATGGCTACTGTAGTCACGAGCCTCACGGAGAGGCCACGATCTGCCAATGAATCGCAAATGCCTGGGCTAAGGATCAGTCTCAAGTGTCCGTTTGTTTTGCACCTTACAATCTGGTGCACCTTATGAATGAAAATAGACGACAGAATTCAGCATTACTGATATTGTGCCTTATAATCCGGTGCTCCTTATAGTCTGAAAAATACGATACACAATTTTAGCAAACTCATCAAAGTTTGTCGTACATATTGGCCCAAAAATATCAGCCGTAGTCTTCTCTGTATTCTAAGAAATCGGTATCATCCGTGTAAAAACCCATATCGGTTGATCTCTGTTTGTAATGAGAAACACCCGGCTGTAATCAGGGCAGTTATGTGTAATGTCACCAACTACTGGATATTACAGAGTCCATGGAGCTAGGACACACCCATTTTATCTAACCACAAAGCTGCAAATATATCTACTTTCATTACTCCGGAACTTTCAGGAGGCCAGAGTGGGGTTTGCCATCACACCACAGCTAACAACAACTAGCATGCTAACAGCTCATCACCATAAAACACTTTATATTTAGAGACGGACCACATTTTTTTGACAATAAAACCGCATTGCTGCAAAACTAATTTATCTCTATTAAGAGTTTGGTCATAGTTTGGTGGTTTCCATGGATACGTGTGTTCGTACCTGTCTTGTTGGTGAGTCTGAAGATAACGCTCCGGTCTGGGATGCCGCAGACGTTGCGCACGGAGGCGATGCAGCTGTAGTTGGCGTAGTCCTGAGGGCGCAGGTTCTTCAGCTTCAGGATCTTTGTCTCCCCCTGCAGCTCAGAGCAAGACAACACCGGTATGCAAATGTGTGCTAGCGTCACAGAAATACAACCCATGCACTGTAAACCTGTTTACTATTTAAATCTGTCAGTCAATCTTGTTTTTATAGAGCCCTTTACGACACAAGAGGTGACCAAGTGGTTTCCAATAAAGTCAACACTATTACATTTTGTTGTTTGGCCTGTAGGTGAGGGCGAAGAGTGTGGAGTGATGGATATTCAGCAAGTTGTTAGGAGCCTGCAAGCCTATTTAAAGGTGCATTGTGTAATTATAACTATATTCATTAATAATAAGGATTAACAGAGGGAATAAAAGTCAAATTTATAGTCTACTCAACTAATCTTTACTAATTCAGTTTAAAGCTGACATAAAATGTGCAGGACCATCATGTCAAGTCAAGTTATTTTATGTATATAGCACATTTCAAAACAACCATAACAAGTTGCATCAAACTGCTTTACAGTATGAAACACAACATAGTGAAGCAATAAAACAAACATTGAATGCATAAAATATTACATATAGAGTTACTTGATACACAAAGATAATAGTCTAAAGTAGTGATGGTTAAATGAGACGAAGCTCTGGAGCACGTCTCGTTCTTTCTGAAATAAACTGCTCTGAAGCACTGCCTCGGAGCTCGTCTCACAGCAGCCGCTCACGTGACCAAAGTGTCTGAACTGTCGGTCCCTCCCCCTACTGCTTCGCTCTGCGTGTCAGTCGCTTCAGTGTATCGAAGCGTTTCATTGGCTCAGCGAATGTTCCGCGCTGTGATTGGTTCAGAGTGCTTCAGAGTATCAGTGCACTTCTGTGGTTTGACAAGAGCTAATCTGCTACAGTATAAAAGATGCACCAATATTTCTTATAAATGTTGGGTAGTGAGGAGTATTGTGTGACGTTAGTGTTATTTTCGCGACTTTTGGCATTAGTTTCATTTTCGATGGCATCTACAAGTGGAAAAAAGCGATCCATGGTTTGGGATCACTTTGATCTAATTCCACCTAACAAGGTAACACCTATTTTCTTATTTACAGCAGCTATTTATGTTGCTTTTTACATATTATTTTAAATAATCATTATTATTGTTGTTGTTAGGTACGGTGTCGCTCTGCACACAAGTATTGTCTTATTTTTAAATTTGTCCACTAGAGGTCAGTGTTTCTCCAAGGCCTCAGACATGTTGAACCATTTGAGACAATATTGCGACTGAGGTGTCAACGCTTCACGAGGCTCCATTCGCCCATCACTAGTCTAAAGTATAGAGCTCATGGGCTGTTGAACGCCATCTTAAAAAAAAAATGTTTTTAGGAGGGTTTGAAAGTGAGGTAGGGAGGAGCAAGATCTCAGGTGAGGAGGAAGGACATTCCAACGCTTGGGGGCCACAACAGTGAAAGCTTGGCCTCCTCTGGTTTTGAGGCGGGATGGTGGGAAGGACAGGAGGTTGAGAGAGTTTGACCTGAGAGACCTGGGGCTGTGTGGGGGGTTAAAAGGTCAGTGATGTACTGTGGCGCCAGTGAGGTAAGTGATTTAAAAACAGTTAATACAATTTTAAAATCAATTCTGTATTTAACAGGTAACCAGTGGAGATGGGTGTAGGATGGGTGTAATATGATCTCTCTTTTTGGACCCGGTAAGCAGTCTGGCAGCAGCATTTTGGACTAACTGTAACCTATTTAGGGAGAACTGTGGGAGGCCTGAATATAGTGCGTTGCAGTAGTCCAGGCTATTTGTTATAAAAGCGTGTATGATTGTTGATTTTCTTTGAGTTATTTAACCCAACAGAGGTATTGTTTAATTGTATTTGGAAATTTTGATTTATCATATGTAAAACAGCTTTTTATTATTCTTATTATTATACTTACTTACATTTACCTTACATCACATCTTGTTTGTGTTACTTTCCTTTGTCTCTAGCACTGGTTCGTAACACAAAGTTATTGCGTGTTAGGATTGGTTTTAATTTGGCAATTTGTCTTAGCTGAAAAAAGCTAGTTTTAACGATATTTGAAATTTATTTCTCAAAGTTAAAAGAGAATCCATAAAAACACCAAGGTTGTTTGCAAAACTGTACAAATTTGTGGCAAGAGGCCCAAGGTCAGATGTGAAGGTGTCAGCGTAAGATCCAAATAGAATAACTTCAGTCTTATTTTCATTTAGCTGGAGAAAGTTAAAGGACATCCAGGTTTTTATTTCCGCAAGGCCGGCATGGAGGGTGGCATGTCACAGTAACACTAACAACAACTAGCATGCTAACAGCCATATAAGCAGCCTTACTTCCTAGTTCGTGGACAATAAAACATCTATCTGTCCTATATCTATTCTAACATTTTAGAATTTTACTTTGCTACATGATAAGAAATCAGGTCCAGTCCAAACCCAGACTGCTAAAAACACAATAATATTCTCAACTGGAGTAAATTAAGTTCGTGATTTCTTTTGCAGAAGTGGAGCAGATAAGACAAAGGTCAACCATTTCTACAGAAAAGGTCACAGGGATGAATATGGATGCAGCGTTAATGAGGTTGAAGCAAAAATAGAAGATATGACTCTAAAAACCTTTTGTTCAAACATCCAACCAAATTAAAGTGTCATTCTTTATTTCAAAGGGTGGATTTTGTAGCACTGAGGAGGGGACGTGCGCAGTGTGAGACCAATCCAAAACATGGCTATCACAGTCAGCAGCCTCTCCCCCCGTCCCCCCCTCTCCCGTCCCTTTAAAAGAGCTCCACCTTTGATCCAAATGACTCCACAGAGGATTTCGTTTTCGTGTCAGGACGTTATAAAAAGCCACAGTTTATAATTGAAATGGACGACAAAGCAGTTCTGTGAGAGAATGTGCTGTTCAAATGTCAAAAGGCAAATGTCTGGTGTCATGGTTAATATCTTGACCTGCAGCTCCACAGCTTGGCACAAAATGCACTTCTGGTCACTATAGAGGCGAAGGGTGCGGTATTCAATACACGCATCAAGAATCTTGGACTTCCGGTCATTGTGCAATACATACTGGGAGGGATTTTCCAAAAAAGTGAGCATCAAACCTTCATGTTTGTTTTCCCAGTGGGGTGCGTCTATTGACAAAGCTGATCTTTTCAAGTCTTTTGAACCATATCACTTTTGTTTCTGATTCTGATATTGTCATATTTTAGTTTTGGGATTCAGACATCATAATTGTGTGGTTGTTGGATCCCAACAGCGGAAAACGGCTCAAGAAATTTATTTGCGAACTCTATAAATGCAAAAGGGAATCAGATGTGTGTGACTGCAAACCTCAATTCAAACTGTTTCCCTTCCCAACGGAATTGAAAAATAGTGAAAGGCAAATGCGATGGGCAGGATTGATCCATGGGAAGGACGAAAAAGGAAACCTTTGACTGCCTAAATTATCCCGAGTTTGCAGCGAACATTTTGTGTGTGGAGCACCATCAAAGTAAAACCCCGATCCCTCGCTCAACCTTGGTTATGAATTTAAAAAGTCAATGCCAAAGCGAAGACACCAGCTGTTCACCAAGAAACATCTTCCACTGCAAAGAGACCAAGACTTAATGTTGCTGTAAAGCCACAAGAACAAGAAAGTTCGAGCTCAGCCTGTTTGTCTTCTGCACCTCTCACTTAACAAACAGGATCCTGCTTTGTTGGTGCTCCACATACAAAATGTTCGCTGCAAACTTGGGATGATTTAGGCAGTCAAAGGTTTCCTTTTTTGTCTTTATTGTGTATCAATTCTGTTGGGAAGGGAAACAGTTTGAACAGAGGTTTGCAGTCACACACATCTGATTCCCTTTTGCATTTATGGAGTTCGCAAACACATTTCTCGAACTGTTTTCTGCTGTTAGGATCCAACAACCACACAATTACGATGTCCAAATCCCAACGACGATTCACTTTAAAGGCAAAGGTGAAGAGCCTGATTTAACCCAAACAAACATGCTGTACCCAGTGGACATACTAGGGCCTGTTTTTCGCAGAAATACTATACATGCAGAGGTGCGCTGGGCATTTGTGGATGGGAAAGACGGCTGTGTTTTTCCTTCAAGTTGTTTAAACAAAAGTTTGATCTCTCGTCTCGTTCCGTTGTTGTGACCGTAGACTGAATATAAATGGAAATAGCTAACCCATCAGCCCAGTGTTTCCCAAACTTATTTTCTGGGGACCCATATTTTAAAAGTCACAAACCTTTGCGACCCAAGTCAATAGACATTATTTGTTAATCATAAAATAAATATGGATTTGAGCATTATTGAACATTAATAAGGATATTTTATTGATGACTGAGTGATCGTGTCTCTCTGAACAATTAGTATTAATCAAGTTCTAAACAATGAAAAACTAAACAAAATTGTAAATAAAATTATTACAAAAAGATTAGAAATTAACCAAAACATGTCTTAACATTCCAATATTTCTAATGAGATAGGTGGGCCTGTCTGTGTTTTTGTAGCATGTTCCAGTCCTGGTGCAGGAGGAGAGCACAGCAACACATCATGAGCAGCTTTCAGTCTGTTTCTGTGCTTTGACACACATATGTAGTAGTGAAAGGAAAAAGCAGTGAAATATTGGCCCTACTGAGGACTTGATATTCTGATGAAATGCTTATCCAGAATGATATAAGATCACAGATCCATGTATTCAACTGGATATTGCAGAGCTACATGCAGATCGTGACAAGGTGATCCAAAAAGAAATCTCTTGCAACCCAATCCACCTGAGGTTCCCAGTCTTTGGGAAACAATGAGTGTGTATACATGCACGTCAATAATCCGGTTATTAGCCATATCCGGGTTATGTCAGTATTCTGGTTACAGTGTTTACATGAGCACTGAGAAACCTGGATACTCATATCCACGTGTACATGATCAAATGGAGTGTCCCGGTTTCTTGACATAATCTTACAAATGCGCAGGTGCAAAAATTAACTTAAATCAATTTCATAAACCAGGAAAAATACAAACCGTGAGCTCCTTTAGCATAAGAAGCTAAGGAGCTACGAGATCTCCCA